GAAATCATTTTTTATCTCTCATTTTCTTTCCCTCTTTCTTTCCTTCTTTTTCTTCTGCAATTTTATTATTATTATTTTTTTTTGGGAGGTTGCGGGTGGAGTGAACTGGTGTGTTAGTATCGGTGTCACACAGATACATAAAATAGTAACATGCACCTCATAGCTATTTAGATTATAATGAAATCTCCGAAGATTGTGTGGCATTGAATTTTCAGAAGTGTTTGTAATGAATTTTCTGAAATACTTGCTCTGAAGTCCTCTTTTACTAGCATAATTCTTACTTATCTTTTACTAGCATAATACTTACTTCTTGTTCTCTGTTTGTTTCATTTAGTTTTATCCCTTCTAGCATCTGTCTTAATTTTTCGAAAATTATGGAGTTCTTTGAAAATGCATGAACCGGATACATTTTCATCGTCTAATGCTTTTGTAATTGAGCTGAATCCTTTTGTGCTAATTAGTATCATCTCAGCTGGGTGGTGGTTATCTCTTTGGCTTGCCCGTGGGTTTTGTTGCTGATTCTATTGGTGCTACAATTGGTTCTGGAGCTGCATTTCTTCTGGGTAGAACTGTAAGTTTCTGACTTTCTGTAGTCTAATAGCAGCCTTTTTTTTTCTTGCTAATAAAAGCTTGAGGCTCAAAGATGAAACTTTTCTTTTCTTCATCTAGTTTTCCACTTTTTTCATACCTTTAGTGGCATACAAACATCTATAAAAATATGTTTCCTTTAGATTTTCTTTCTTATTATTTCTCCATCCATGAATGAACAGATTGGGAGGTCATTTGTAATTTCCAAGTTGAAAGACTATCCACAGTTCAATGCAGTAGCAATTGCTATTCGGAAATCTGGGTTCAAGGTCTGCATGTTTTCTCCCAACTGATCCTGTGAACTTCAGTGTCTTGTTCTTATGCGTGATCTTTGATTGAAGTCTGATTTGGATGGTTTGTTTGATTTTTACATTCATATGGTGGACATATATATAATTAAATTTTTCTTCTGGTTGAACAGATTGTGTTGCTGCTTCGGCTTGTCCCTTTACTTCCATTTAACGTGTTGAACTACCTCTTATCCGTGACTCCGGTCTCCATTGGACATTACATGCTAGCTTCATGGTTGGGCATGATGGTATGAACATTAAAATGTTGTCTCTTTATTGCTAAATTGCCAATGAATTAATGGCATTTTAAGTTGATCATTGTTGAAAAGCTATACATTTTTAAAAAAAATCTATGCTAAATTGACTGTTACATATACCTTAGTGCAAATTTATGTATGTTTTGTCAGAAATGCTTCCATTTATTTGATTATCGCCTTGATTCCCATTTCTGCTCTTTCTGCAGCCAATTACTTTTGCCCTGGTGTATGTTGGGACAACTCTAAAGGATCTTTCTGACGTAACACATGGATGGGGTGAATTTTCAAAAACCCGTTGGGTAAGTGCCTTGAGTTGCTTATTTTTATGCAGTTTTAGTTCAATGTGCTCATTCTGTTGGTAATCCTTTCATATTTAAAACCTTGGTTAGAATGTGGGGGACTGTATTTCTTGAGGAAAGAAACTAAAAATGATAAAATGATTCAATGGATTCTTAAGGGATTGTATAATTATATTCGATTTCGTTTAATTTCAAATTTTATTTGAACTCGTAAATTTACAAATCTACAGACTGCTAATGATGGATATTGTTACTTGTGAAAATTAGAGGACACTAACTTTAATTCATTGTTGTTGCCCAAATATCGTCTTTCACGTCGCTAAAATGATGAAAAGCCTCACTCTCTGTTTTAATGGGCCCGTGTATTTACTATATTTATGTAATTTAACATTAGCTCCTTTTCTTATTTGATGCAGGCACTGATAGTGTTGGGCCTTGTGGTTTCTGGTAAGTTTTAAATGTATATTTATTTACCATTTGATCATCACATTGTGAAATTCCCTGCAAAAATAATTGAGGAAGTAGACCAACTTTTGAAAAAAATTGTCTGGCTTGAACCGTGTATATCAAAGATTGTACTAGTTATAAAATTACTTTTGTTAGGGAGTTTTTTTGTCTGCTCCATAGTTTTGAAAACTTCTGTCTATGATGTTTGAACATCAAAAGACCATAAGAATCTACTTTTTATTAATTAATTTAAATGAGGCAATAGATTTTTGATACCGAATGTAAACACCTGTGTAATAATGCACCAGTTCAGTTGCAGCAAAAGTGCTTATTGATAATGTAACTCGATTTCTGATTTTCAGTTTGATTCGGAAAAGATCGCTGAAGAAATGTTTTTCCTTTTGGCCTTATGAAAACAATCTCATGTTGTCATTTAATTTTCTTAAGAATATTGATTCTTGTTAGCTACGGGATAACGACCTGTTTGCCAGGCTCCACGACTTTAACTTATAGTTGTTACATTGGTTTGCTGTTTCTTTTCATCGAATTTATTGGTTTCTTGGAAAGTTATATTTTGATTTTTGGGTATCTTTGCCTCACTTTTTATTGGGTTTGCTTGCAGTGGTGTTAATAATTTGTGTTACTAGAGTTGCGAAAGCTGCTTTAAAGAAAGCATTGGCTGAAAACGAGGATGTAGACGA